TAGCATAGGCTACAAGTTAAAACATTAAGAAGAATTATACTGTAAAACATAAGGCTTCTCGGTGAGGTTGGTAAAATAAGGTCATGCTTTAGTTAGTTTGCTAGTTAGGTAACTGTATGCATTGTTATTGTTAATTTAAAATAGCTATGCTCGACGATGCAGACAGCTAGCGTCACATTAGTGTTGAAGAGCAGAGTATGAGATTAACCTCACTATAAGATCTGTGTATCTGAAAAATATGAATCTCACATTTCCAGTTGGTTCCAGAAATAACGTTGACGTAGATATTGCAATATGGTTTGTTGAGCTGGAGTTGATTGTTGAAGCTTACTGGTTAACGTTCATCATATTAAACGAACGAACCCAAACGTTGTTGTTTTTAAATAATATTATTACCAATACTTACTTAGCATTTTATTATCATAACACTGGAGAAACCGATTTATTGTGGCAGCAGAACGTGAACATGTAACTTAATGCCTGCATTTGAGGACGAAAAATAGCTCAGTCAATGCTTTAGGGACAAGGAAATGATTTGTTTAAATATTAGATATGACGTTATGTGTGCTTCTGTGACAATGAAGCTTATTCATTGCATTACATTTGTTGAAGTTGTTTGTCTTTTACCCTTACGTGTGTGTTACAAATGAATGTGAATATGGCATAGTACAAATATTTAAATTGACTGTCTCATGAAAAACGATTCTAAAATAAAAAGGACCCCAAAGTGAGTCAGCAAAACTTTCAATAATAATCTAAGGTATTGAGTTTTGGGATGTTACTTGCATACAAATCTATAAATGCCTTAAGGTTTCTAAAACATACAATATGTGGTAAATTCAACAGTGGACCCAGCAAAGATTCACATTTTTGCATGATTTGTTATTGATTTGTTGCTGTTACTTAATTTTAATAAATTCAAGTCAAGCTTGGTTACATGTGATGGTAGCTATATGCTCTTACCTGTGTGCCTCCTCCGCAACCAGACTGTATTCAAACTCTTAAGTACCAGTTCTATCTACTTTAAACAATTAAAAAGACAAAATCAACTACATTTATTGATATACCAATCTTTATTTTTGGGGCCTCTTCTTCTTTTAAATTAAACTTTCAGACATGAGATATTGAAATACAGTAATAGTTTTGTCTATTTAAAAAAGAATGAGCCATTCCTTACAGTTAACTTCATATTTCTTATTGTCTAAAGCATTTATGACACACATTTCCCCCTCATATTCACAGTGTGGATCAATTGAGACAGCGTGCAGAGACTTTGAGAGAAACCTCAGCATGACGGATGTCCTGTCTGTGGGTTTGGCTGGAGAGGACTGAGGTGGAGAGGTCTTTCTCTGGGAGGAGGCCCAGGCCTGATGAAGAAACCACCTAACTGCATCTGTGAGCACATACTGGGCTCAGCTGTCACAAACAAATGATGGTCCTGTTTGACTTTGTGTTCACAATAAAAGTGTAGTTTCTTAGTGAATGTCCTGTATTGGTCTTTAATCTGAAATCAGCTTTTCATTTTCTTCTTGCCCCTCTGAGAAAACGGTGAGGCAGTTGTGTCCTTCAGGTATGTCATTTCCTAACAGAAATGACAAACATATGACATTATTGCAGAGCAAGTGTGTTATTTATGAAAGGTTTGTTTATTTAGCGGCTGTAGAAATAATGTATTTTTTTAATTTTAATGTGTTTTTTTAATTCATCACTTTGTACTACAAAGATAATCAGATTATGAATGAACAGTCTGCAGTTAATCAACATTAAAATATCTTATTAAATAATATTCAACTGCTCGGTTGTCTCACTGCAAGAACCACTTTTACCACGTCTTTTACAGACAATATGTAGAGACAAATGGTAGCAATTCTCACAATGTAAAATAATAATTGCCTTAAATACATTGAAATGTGAAAGCTGATTATAGTTGTTACTTTATCTATTTAAACCAGAACGTTTCTCGATTCTTTGTACAGTATGAAAGGGGTCTTTGTACCTTTGAGTCCATGCTGAAGTTCACTGATGTTAGGAATAGGTCTGTCTCTCGTGGTCAGCATCCTCTGGTCTGTCTGCATCACCTGGAAACTTTAAACAAACAGATGTATATGTAAAGTAACAATGTGTTGGTCACAGACTTGTTTTTACATGCAAATGTCATGTGATAATCTTTTTGTTATCCTTAAAAAAAAGTGCTGGATATCAAAGCCCACACACACGTAAGGGTAAAAGACAAACATCTTCAACAAATGTAATGCAATGAATAAGCTTCATTGTCACAGAAGCACACATAACGTCATATCTAATATTTAAACAAATCATTTCCTTGTCCCTAAAGCATTGACTGAGCTATTTTTCGTCCTCAAATGCAGGCATTAAGTTACATGTTCACGTTCTGCTGCCACAATAAGTCGGTTTCTCCAGTGTTATGATAATAAAATGCTAAGTAAGTATTGGTAATAATATTAATAAAAACAACAACGTTTGGGTTCGTTCGTTTAATATGATGAACGTTAACCAGTAAGCTTCAATAATCAACTCCAGCTCAACAAACCATATTGCAATATCTACGTCAACGTTATTTCTGGAACCAACTGGAAATGTGAGATTCATATTTTTCAGATACACAGATTTTATAGTGAGGTTAATCTCATACTCTGCTCTTCAACACTAATGTGACGCTAGCTGTCTGCATCGTCGAGCATAGCTATTTTAAATGAACAATAACAATGCATACAGTTACCTAACTAGCAAACTAACTAATGTACAAGCATGACCTTATTTTACCAACCTCACCGAGAAGCCTTATGTTTTACAGTATAATTCTTCTTAATGTTTTAACTTGTATGCTACGGATAGCATCGTTAGCACAGATGTAGCTTCGTCTCGCTTGTTAGCTGAATAAAAAGACAAGTAAGAAATAAAGTGCTTGAATTTCACTTACCGAATAAACTGCATTCATAGACGGTCTGTTTGAACCGCAGAGCCATAAGATAAGTGCGATATTTCAATGAAGAATACTCCACCAGGCATCAACACAACAAGCACGTCCGAGTAGCACCCTGGAGCTAATGAAGCTAACGGGGCTAGCAAAGAGACCACTAGCAGATGACTTCCGTTACATTAGAATGACTTCCGTTACATTAGAATGACTTCCGTTACAGCAAGAATCCCCTCACACACACATAGGTGAAACACATGCACATTCCCTACTGAGAACCTTTCAGTAAAATGTTTTTCAGGAGTGTGTGTGTGAGGTTAATTTTCAGTAGTGTGTGTGTGAGGTGTTCAGTAATGAATGTGAGAGGATTTCAATAGTGTGTGTATGACGTTAATTTTCAGTAGCGTGTGTGTGAGTTGTTCAGTAGTGTGTGTGTGTGTGAGGATTTCAGTAGTATGTGTGCAAGGCCAGATGTTTTCAGTAGTGTGTGTGTGAGGTGTTCAGTAGTGAATGTGAGAGTATTTCAGTAGTGTGTGTGCAAGGCGAGATGTTTTCAGTAGTGTGTGTGCGAGGTGAGTTTGAATTTTGGCCTACACGGCCCTTCATAGCAGTCAGTATGCTGTACAGTCTGCAGTCAGTATGCTGCACAGTCTGCAGTCAGTATGCTGCACAGTCTGCAGTCAGGTCAGTCTGCAGTCAGTATGCTGCACAGTCTGCAGTCAGTATGCTGTACAGTCTGCAGTCAGTATGCTGTACAGTCTGCAGTCAGTATGCTGTACAGTCTGCAGTCAGTATGCTGTACAGTCTGCAGTCAGTATGCTGTACAGTCTGCAGTCAGTATGCTGAACAGTCTGCAGTCAGTATGCTGTACAGTCTGCAGGCAGTATGCTGAACAGTCTGCAGTCAGTATGCTGCACAGTCTGCAGTCAGTATGCTGTACAGTCTGCAGTCAGTATGCTGTACAGTCTGCAGTCAGTATGCTGTACAGTCTGCAGGCAGCATGCTGCTCTTTTATCCTCATGGTTTCAAAAGAAATGCCAAACCTGTTTTAGCTTTTCATTCAGCCCATCATTGTTTTATTCACATAACCTACATAATCCCAGATGGCTAAATATGAACCGGTTGGTATCAGAATGACGACATTAGTTGGATTGCACAGAGGTCTCTTTAAATCATGTCAACTGTAATTCGACCCTATCTGACCACATTCCATATTCCTGTCGTGCAGAGAAATGGGGCAAGAGTTTCCTGATCATTATTTCCAACGCAAAGTGAAGAAGACATCTGCACATGCTCACATAATCTAGACATGTGTGTTGTATTTCAAACCGTCGCAAATATGTCTTAGTAATGTTGTCATTTTGAAAATGATCATACGATCAAAGAAAGTCCTTCAGGGAATGATCTGATGAGTTATCTCATGTATGGCCTGTTATCAGCTCAAAGTGTCGTACTTATAAACCCGTATCCTTGAACTGATAAGGCCGATACAGAGCTGCTAGTGCAAACAGTAACACATCACGTGATCTGCTGAAATGCATGCCTGACTCAGGGACTACAGATATTTAGAATAATGGTTAGTTCATCAACAGAAAATAAATGTTTCCCTTTTTTTTAAAGCAAACGGTCAGATTAGATTCAACTTGATTGTCTTTGCACAGAGTAGGACACCGAAATTCAGTTCTAACTAGAAGTGAAAAATAACAACGTGCAGAGTGATGTTTAGAATAATATAAATATATATACATCTGACAGTATTTACATTATGAACAGTATAGGCAGTATAAACTGCAACTTTTTCTCAAACCTTTTTATGAAATCATGTTAAAAAAGAAATACAAACATTATCAAAACATTTTTGGTTGTGGGTTAAAAAAAACAGATGCAAATCGTACCAATATTCACATCACTGACAGAGTGATCACTCACTTAAGTCCCTTCTGAGCTCCTATGGGAACATCCTCTTACATTGGTAATGTCACTGAAGTTCATTTTAGATCCACCTCCTCATGCTGCACGTTGCTCACTTTGTATCCTCTCTTTGTTTCTGTCCTGTCTGCAGGTGCTGTGGTGTGAGGGGCTCACTGAACAGACCAACAGACATCATGGTGAACATCCCAGAATACTTTGCAGGGAAGACGGTGCTGATATCTGGAGCAACAGGCTTCATGGGCAAGGTACAGTAGCCAATCAGAAAGGACCAAAGCCAACAACATGACCTGCTGAGGGAGATGAGAGGAAGCTGTGTGAAGACATGTACAGTTAACATCAGTTATCTTCTTGTTGCTAACTGATACATGTTGCATATCATTCAAATGTCCTTTTACTGCCCAACTCAAACACAGCAAACACAGCAGCCATTGTGTCAGGGTGTCCTTCAGGAAAAAAATGTATGCTGGGCAGTGTGTCCCGGAATATTTCAGTGTCACAAAAGAATGAGAGAAATTCCGGTTAAATATTCAGTGTGACCTTTTCTGAGGCACTGAGGGTACTAAGTTATTGCGGAAACGTTATTTTACACAATGTTAATGCAATTGAAATCTGGCTTAGAGGTTTTAAATATTTGCACCATCATACACTAAAGCAAATTCCTGGCAATAAAGGTGATTCTGAAGGAGGAGCTAAGAGTTCCTGATGGAGTTCTCACTTCTTGGTTCAGGTTCTGCTGGAGAAGCTGCTGCGGTCCTGCCCTGAAGTCAAAAGTGTGTTTGTGTTGGTCCGGTCCAAAGCTGGTCAGAGCCCCCAGGCCCGCATCGCTGACATGATCAACTGCAAGGTGAGTGGTGAGAGGGGGAGGGGGGGGGGCCTTGAAGTAGCATCTGCAACATTGTTCAGACGCCACTTGAAACGTACCACTCCCCTCAGCAGATGTGTGGTTGCCTGTGGTGGAAGGAAATGATCTTCAGCATTTGATCTACAACCACACTGACCCTCAGTGTTGTGCTGCACTGTTACTTCCATTCAATCAGTGTTCCTGTGTGTAGAAGCATGTGCTTAAGATGAGAAATGCCCCGTGTTTCACAGTTTGGGTGTCCTGCATAAACCTTTCCCCAAAATCTAAGTTTTCCTTTTTCCATTCTAGCCTTACTGAAAAATATCAAGCACAACAGAGGACATTTAAATGAATGTTGAATAATATGTGAGGAAATGTATGTTGGTTTATTCACATTGGTTACAGTGTGCTGTAGGTTTGCTAACATTGTCAGTTTCTAGAGAACAGGAGAAATATACGTAAAGATCTGAGATCAGTTTAGTGAACAGTAGTGCATTCTGCCATCAGCTGTTCAACACTGAGACTACAAATAGTTGGCAGACAAATTGAACTTTGAAAACGTTGCACTGCACTCTAAATAACTGCTGAATACCACAAATGCCACATTATTTAAATGCAAATTTATACTTTACAATTTATAGCTGTACAGTTATAAGCAGTGTTTTTGATTTCATCATTTCCCCATTCAGTTGTTTGAAAGACTGCAGGACGAGCAGCCAGGCTTCTCAGAGAAGATCACAGCCGTGAGCAGCGACCTGATCCGGCCCGGGCTGGACCTGAGCGAAGAGGACCAGAGTGTCCTGGCCGACCGCGTCAACATCGTGTTCCACTGCGCCGCCACCATCCGCTTCAACGAGCCGCTCAAGTGAGCCCTGTTCATGTTGCTCACTTTCCTGTACCTATCTTTCAATACATATCTTTGGATATGGCTATTTCTCCCAGATGGTTAAGCAGGTCTTTATCAATGTGTTTCTTTCTCCACTTATACATTTGGTACAGTTGTTCATAGTTCATTATCTGTTGTGTTTTCGCAGTCAAATGAAGAACTGATGAGTGTTTGCTTGACTTAGCAGTGAGAAAACAACATGGTTTCAAGAGATCGTTCTCTCTTAAGTTAGAATTACACAGAAATGTTCTTTATTACTGTGAACCAAACACTCACAATGTTAACCTTTGAGACATGTCGGATTGTGTTTGGAAAGCAACTAAATTACTTTGGAAGGAGTTTTTTGGGTTTGAGTTTTTGGGTTTGAGTTTTAGTCACATTTGATGCTATCTGTGTATCTTATGTCAGTGTTACGTTCCCTTGTAGATCTAGGGGTACCAAGGGAAGTAGCGACACACAAGATAGCCGGACGAGAGAAAAAGGAGAGGAAACTGAATGCTGAAGAAGTTTAAGTGAGGTTTTAATTAGTGAATAAGTAAGGCGGCTCACCAGCCAAATTACCAAAACAAACTTGCAATAAACAACACACAACTATGCTGGGTCTCATACAGAGACATGCTGCACACATGCAGCCAGATGAGAAGGAGAGAAAAAGCCTCTCACTGCCGTCCTCCTCCGGTCCTATATGGAAGCCCTGATTGTCAATTAGGAGCACCCGGGGAGAGGCTGCACCTGGGGACAATCAGAGGGAGAGAGAGGAAAACACACACACGACCACACAAACACTACGGCACGTAACAGGCAGTCTGGCGAAAAATAATTGTACTGATAATGGTATTTAAAGAAATAATTCAACATTTGGGCAAATAAGTATGTTGGTGAAGGTGAAGGAGGTGTGCATTCGTGTGTGCATTAGTGCGGCTGAAGCTCAGTCTGTAGGGACTTGGCTTGGGAACCGAAGGGTCCCTGGTTCGAGTCCCTATCGGACCAAAAATAGTGTGGACTGACAGCCTCTTCGCTCTACCAACTCTTCATCTGTATATCAATTGTAGGTTTGTGCATGTGTGTGTATTTCAGGCCTATGTGTGTCATTTTATACCAACACTAGAAATAAAACCTGAATATCCCCTTAATAAAGGTCCATTTGAAGCATGGAGTCAGGATGTGATTAGCCTAGCTTAGCTTGGAGACTTAAAGCATGGGGAAGCAGCTCCAGCTCTTTCCAAAGAGGAAAAATGTGCCCACCAACACATCTGAAGCTCACCAGTTTACATGTTGTATCTCGTTTGTTTAAACTGTACACACATTAAGAGAGCGTGGGGTTAGAGTAAATGCTGGAACTATTGCGTAACAAGCAACAGTCCCTTTGTGCAGCGTCTGCAGCTACAGCGCTCATTCACTCAGTGTTGGTCTGATCTCTGTAAAGGCATGAACAAAGCTGGCAATCTCACTGCGACAAGACTTTGGGACTCTCTGACTATTGTTCATGAAATGGATCCACAATGTGACTTTGACATTATAGCTGTTTTAATTGTTGTATGACAAATTAGATATAATGTGGTAGCTAGTACACTAGAGAGCTTCTGGTAGATGTTTCACTTGTTGATGCTAAGCTAGGCTAACAACATCCTAGCTAGAGAAATGAGATTGAACAGACTCCAAAATGTTTGTCTTTAACCCCCCAGACGTACTGTTGGGTCAGTTAGATTAAACGTAACCGTCTCCCCCCCCCCCCTCAGAGATGCAATGCAGCTGAATGTGCTGGCCACTCAGAAGATGCTGGCCCTGGCCCACAGGATGAAGCATCTGGAGGTCTTCCTTCATGTCTCCACCGCCTACGCCAACTGTGACCGAGAGCTCATTGAGGAGGTCGTGTACACCCCCCCCGTAGACTACCGCAGACTCATCGATTCTCTGGAGTAAGTTGGTCTGATCAGCTGTGGTGATGCTTGTTTCTCCACACAGATGTGTTCGTGCTCTATTGTGTCATCAGTTCACAGTAGATTGGGTTTATGGTTTTTCAAAGGGACTCTACATTTCCTCTTTGGATGCATAAAAAGCCAGTAAGAATGTACCATAAAGATTAGTGTCGCTGATACACTGATCATGCCAGCTTAGCAGGGCCGGAGAGTAAAGGCTGCTTTAGTAGCACTAATGTTGTTCAGGCTGTCAGTCATTAGTAAAGCATTAGAAGCCTACAGAGGCAGTGCAGATTAGTACGAGGTTTCTGAGCGATGTATGTATAGAAAGGTAGCCTGGATATATATGTGCAAACATACTGAGTTTTACTGTGGAATGAATTAAACAAAATGGACCTTTAGCAGTGAGATGTATTCCCGTCTGATGCAGAGTGGTTTTAAGTAAGACCTCTTACTCATAGACTGGAATGTGATGCCTTTCTTTGCGTGGAGTGGAAAAGGTTTTCACATCCAAATTCATGCAGTTTAATGTTTTAATTAGTAATCCATTTTAAACATTAATTCAGCTCATTAAACATTTGCCAACTCCGTGGTTAAATATCTGATATGCCATTAAACGATTTATTAAAGACCTTTCGTCTCGTGTTGATGAAGTTAAAGAGACATCTTAGCAAACTGGCACACACTGAATGTAAACACACACTGTTTGCTCTGTTACCTGTTCAATAACATGTCTCTTTTAGACATTGTGATCCAAGGATCAGTGGTTGAGTGATTACAGGAGAGGTGAGGACAAGTACAACGTCACTTATACAGACAAAAGAGTTTTTGAAGTAAGACAAATACCAAGTGTGGCCAAAACACACAACTGTGTGTGTGTGTGTGTGTGTGTGTGTGTGTGTGTGTGTGTGTGTGTGTGTGTGTGTGTGTGTGTGTGTGTGTGTGTGTGTGTGTGTGTGTGTGTGTGTGTGTGTGTGTGTGTGTGTGTGTGTGTGTGTGTGTGTGTGTGTGTGTGTGTGTGTGGTGTGTGTGTGTGTGTGTGTGTGTGTGTGTGAGAACTTTAAGAAGAAAACGTTAACCTTTATGGACTCTACATCTTTCAGCGGCATCTGTCCGCCACTTTGCTCTAGATTAAAGGTGGGGTATGTAAGTTTGAGAAACCGGCTCGAGATCGCTAGAATTTGAAAATACACGACCGGAGAAAATCTGCCACTTCCTCACAGAGCCCCTCCTCCAACACACACGAACGCGCACATGACCAATGAGGGCACGAGATAAGTTTGTGCACAGATGGAAGGCTGACAGGCAGGTAGGCCATCCAGTTACTTTAGCCGGCTCAAATGATTGGTCGTGCTTTTTACAGCGCCACAGCTTCCACAGATGACATTTTTTAATGGATTTGTTGTCAAAGCACTTCAGATATGCATTTCTATCGGGATGTTAAGAGCATTCCATGGAATATAACAAAAAGTGTATCTCGAGCCGGTTTCTCAAACTTACCTACCCCACCTTTAAGTACATTTTTCTGGTATCAGTACTTTACTCCACTACTTATTTTTCTGACGACTTTTTACTTTTACTTCTTACATTTTCAAAACAGATTCGTTACTTTAGTTTTAATCTGCATTTGGTGGCGTGATCATTATTATTTAGTCATTGCATGCAAGTTGGCAATGGCCTTGATAATCCCCTGAATTATCACTGACATTTTTGGACCACATTTTGTACTAGTGTTCATGGTTCAACGATAATGGCTTCTACTGAGTTAGACATTTGAGGTTTTGAGTTTTGTATAGATTGCGCCTGAAATCCAGATAAATTGTTATCTCTTCCTCGTAGTGCCTTAAAGGTGGGGTGTGTAATTTAATTCAGAAACACTTTTTGTTATATTCCATGGAATGCTCTTAACATCCCGATAGCAATGAATATCTGAAGTGCTTTGACAATAAATCCATAAAAAAATGTCATCTGTGGAAGCCGTAGCGCTGTAAAAAGCACGACCAATCATGTTAGCCGGCCCGGCTAAAATAACTGGATGGCCTACCTGCCTGTCAGCCTTCCATCTGTGCACAAACGTATCTCGTGCCCTCATTGGTCATGTGCGCGTTCGTGTGTGTTGAAGGAGGGGCTCTGTAAGGAAGTCTGAAGGAAGAGGCAGATTTTTTACGGTTGTGTATTTTCAAATTCTAGCGCACTCAAGCTGCTTTCTCCAAAATTACATACCCCACCTTTAAGCTTGGCAGTACAATCACCATATTATTTGTTCATTTATTTCCGGCGATTAAAGACACATTTGTATTGCTCCATATTAAAACTGTATTTGGTTTAATCAATAACTTTATTTATTGTTCACTTTGTCCAGCTGGATGGATGATGAGCTGGTGTCTGCTCTGACTCCCAAACTCATCGGGGAGCGTCCCAACACCTACACCTTCACCAAAGCCTTGGCTGAATACATGGTGCAGCAGGAGGCCGGAGACCTGAACGTGGCCATCGTCAGACCCTCCATCGTGGGGGCCAGTTGGAAGGAGCCCTTCCCTGTGAGTCACCCAGCCTGCTGGTGTTGTGTTGCTGTGTCAGGATGTGATTCACCTGGAGTCAGGGAGAGAGTTACTGTTGAATGAAATGTTCCACTACACCACAGATTAACTTTAGGTTCTGATATTCAAATGTACTAAGGAAGGGAAAACCATAATACTTATACCAACTTTAGGGCTCTGGCCATTTTCTGTGTTTTCAAAATCTCCTGAATATTGCAGTAGGATTGTGTTCATTTAAAGGTGTTAATGTTTTGTATTTTTTCGACTCCACTTCGAGCGATAGAATTACTAACTAAGCACTTATATACTAATAAAGGACTGGCTTATCTAAAGCCAGTTGAGTAGCACTTGAAATGTTTTAGCTCTATGAAACCTGATGTACTTATATGATTCTGTTTTCTTCAAGTTTGTATCTTGTTGGTCGAATGCACTTATTGTAAGTCGCTTTGGATAAAAGCCTCAGCTTAATGTAATGTAATATTAGCTTAGCACAAGGTCATGTTGACAGGCCTCAGCGTCACATGCGTTATAGGTAGTTTGAAACAATGATTTATCCACTTCACAATGGTGAAGAAAATACAATTACTTTAACAGAGGTAGCACAAAAGTGGCCCTGTTTTATTGTGTGTATTGAACACACAACATAATATTTTCTCTTCTCTTAAAGCACTCCCTCTTTAATGCTGCAAACACAGAAAGGAGTGAGGCATGTGCAGACAAGAAGCTCTGTACACCTTTAGCTCCTGATTAATCACTGTGGAGGGCCTGTTGCATTTCTGGTTTAGGAGAGTTTGAGAAAACATACCGTAAATAAATCAAGCAATTCCTTGCATATAAGACAGTTTAGCCAGCAAATGCAGCAAAATATGTCAAATTGCAATTTTGTTTAGTAGTATTAGTTAGGGATGTAACGATACCAAAAACTCACGGTACGATAATATCGCGATAACAAGTCCACGGTACGGTATTTCAACCCAGTCTCATGGCATTTCGTGTTCACCAACACGATTTCCCCCTTTTTTTCGTGTTGCACAGCACGATTTTAAAAGCAATGTATTTCTACTGGTAATGACGCTCATGGAAGCACGACATTCGTTTGTGTCGGCTGCCCTTAAAGGCAATGTGAGTGTCCATTCCCATTGGATAACGGAGAATTGTACACCCGGAAGTAAGTATTCCCCTTACTGTCGATTGATTTTACAGTGATATCTGCACTACTCATCGACTAAAAAACACCAGATTATCCTTGTTAATTACACAACATTGATTGGTTTAAATTGTGTGCAATGCTTTTATATTTTTCCCCTTCAATTCGGAGAAACAAATATTTTTTCGGAGTAAAGGATGGCAGAAGACACTACACTACCCAGAATCCCCAGCGATCGTTTAGGACTACACCATGTGCTCTGTTTGACAAACCCCGTGATAGTCCTCAAGCTCTGTGATTGGAAAGTGTGCTCCGAGGGTTACGCCATTCATTCCAATGGCTGGCGTCTATGTCACTTGATCTTCAAATTTCTCCCTGCAGAAAAAAAAAACATGGCCGAACTTCGTTTTATTCTCGGTGGAAAATAATAATAATAATAATAATGCATTTTTTATTAGAGCGCTTTTACAGGTGCTCAAAGCGCTTTACAAGTACACATTACACATATTACACATGTAAGAGTCATTACTGCGGACATTACCCACAGGATTAAATGCGGGTAAAGTGTCTTGCCCAAGGACACAACAGCCTGACGCAGTGGCAGCCGAGGCGGGATTCGAACCAACGCCCCTTGATCTGATGACCAACGCTCTAACCACTGCGCCAAAACCGCCCCAAAATGCCTATTTTAAAGTTAGTTTGGCCATTAAAATGCGTTTTGATGTAATTTGATGCGAGAAATATGAGTTGTTATTTCAGATTATGTGTGCAGTGGATGTACATGATGTTTTAGTTTGCTAGTTATTATGAAGATTACTTCAGGAAGTTTTCATTGTTACCAAGGTGGTTGCTAGGGACGCTGCTATCGATATTATTTCTGTTATGTTGTGTAACTGTTTAATGGTGTTATCTTTATTGCTACCCCCTTCCCCGTCAATGTATAGTGTTGGTCCACAGCGCAAACGTATTAGTTTAACAAAATCCGCATCTAAAGATACGTTATTTTCCCCTGTGCAATTCCAGTCTCACATCTCACAGCACATCGTCATTAACAAATACCGGAAACAGACCGAAAACATAAAAAAAAAAAAAAAAAAAATACTTTATTCCGAGTGTGCTTGCTTTTCTCTTTGGAAGTCATCACATAACGGCATTGTAATACACGGTTCAGCTGCATTAAATATTACATATCTGCCGTAGTTCTGTATTTATAGAGCCCTGATGAGCAGACTTCTAGACAAACATGAGGAACTGAAAACGTGACGTGGATCATAAATATATCAGCCATTAAACAACATCTTACATTTCTTTTTGCACAATACGTCTCCTTGCAGTATCAACACTAATTCGGCTGACTTTTATATTTGATCCAATTGGTAGATAGGCTGTATTTACACCATAAAGGTGCACAGCTGATATAAAGGGACACCTAGTGGTTAAAGCATGTTATTGAATTTCATTAGTTTTATTATTAGATATTAATAGGATCCCTATAAAGTATATTCATTACTCGTTATTCTCTACTAATAGTTAATTAAAGACTGTATATAATGACTATTTTGCACATCCCTTTCAAGATTTTCTAAGGTTTATTGACATATCATATAGGCCTACACAACTATGGTGTAGTTCTGCATTGAATGAAAAACTTGGGTCGCAGGTTCCTCAATAGTGCATTACAAGACATCTATCAATATTTGTGCATACCTCCAGCAATGTTAACTATGTTGAAGCACTTGTTTTAACTGATATTATACATAATGTATTATACTCTTATAAGATGTATGTAGATATTTCATCTCCGGCCTTGTCAGGTATTGAACAATCAATAAATAAAGAACACAGAATTGTTAAATATAAAACACAGAATTTGTGTGATTATACTAAATGATTTACAAATAAACACCACTGCATATTTACAACTGTTACACATGCTGATGTAACGCAAATGTTCCAACTTGGGATCAATAAAGTATATCTTATTTTAAGCTGATCGATCGCTACTGCCATATTTGCAAAATTTGCCTCTGAACCTTGACAAGTGCATGTTTCAGGCTTATCAATTAATGTAATGTAATGTAATGTTATCAATTAACAACAGGGGTCACAAACATAAGACCAGCTGTTAAATAAAGCTCTTCTGACCTTAGCTGGCATGTGTGTATATATATTAATGCTGCCCATTATGGGCACAAGCAATTTTCACCCATTTATTAATTATATGTTTTAAATTTGAGTGTTTCCTATCCCCTAAACCTCCAGGGATGTACACAGTTTAATACTGGCAACTTCTTATTATGGGAAATACGAAAACGTCTTTTACAACTACAACTCCCAGTAGAGACGTGCCATAGATAAAGAACATGTTGCGAAACACAATAGCCAGCATGTGTAGTTCTGGGGATGGGGTGGGGGAGGGGGGGACGCGGTGGACCCGTTCAAATCCAGTTTTGGACAGTCTGCTGTGGTTCCATCCCATTTCAAGTGCTGTTCGAGGCTCGGCGTAACCCTCGGAGCACACTCTCCAATCACAGAGCTTGAGGACTATCACGGGGTTTGTCAAACAGAGCACATGGTGTAGTCCAAACGATAGCTGGGGATTCTGGGTAGTGTAGTGTCTTCTTCTATCCTTTACTCCGAAAACATATTTGTTTCTCCGAATCGAAGGGGAAAAATACAAAAGCATTGCACACAATTTAAACCAATCAATGTTGTGTAATTAACAAGGATAATCTGGTGTTTTTTAGTCGATGAGTAGTGCAGATATCACTGTAAAATCAATCGACAGTAAGAGGAATACTTACTTCCGGGTGTACAATTCTCCGTTATCCAATGAGAATGGACATTGCCTTTAAGGGCAGCCGACACAAACGAATGCCGTGCTTCCATGAGCGTCATTACCAGTAGAAATACATTGCTTTTAAAATCGTGCTGTGCAACACGAAAAAAAGGGGGAAATCGTGTTGGTGAACACGAATCAAAAGATTAAAAATCGTGTTGGTGAACACGAAATGCCGTGAGACTGGGTTGGGTATTTATCGTGATATTGAATAATAAAGGGGAAAAAAAGTTTATTTTTTCAATAAAAAATTGTTTTACTCGGAAGATATTTCTTTATTACATAATACATCTGATTTGTACAGCATTTTAGTAGGATAGCAGTATTTTAAAGTGTCAAAAACAAAGTGACAATACAAGACTGGAACAAGAAAACCAGTGTCTTTGTACCTATAGTACTACCAAACAAAGTAGGCATTTTCTTTGTGCCACTGCATCTCACAAATAAACAAGGACATTTAATAATCAGACCTTGCAATAAAATAAATCAAGTTTCACTTTAGTTTTTCAAGTAACTCAACTCAAACTCACTAGTCACTCACTCAGCATCATCAGACAGGTTTTTAGGAATATGAGAATGTCCACATTTCCAGGTAGAAGCTGGGATGTTTGGGCATTTACAATATCCCCTGCTCTGGAAAAAACTCTTGGTACTGATGTTGCTGGGAAAGCAGTGGTCGCGTTAACCGAATATTTTATTTAACAATGACGGAAAAATCTGAAAGCAGTCATTTTGACAGATTAGAACAAACTCGGAACAGCGCCAACGTTTCCCCGCAGCGAGGCTCTGGTGTTATGCCGTGTTATGCATGCCCTCCAAAAGGAAATGATATAGTTTCCAAACCGTACCGTACTTTGCCGTACAGAGGTGCATGCACACTCGGCATAACACCGCCCCCCCCCCGTTGACAGTTCACGAGCGTGCTCTCTCGTGAACTGTTCAGACCCGACGGGTAATAACGGATTATGACGGATATTTTACGATCCTGTCTGTCAAAATGACGGACAGCGAAAAAGTCTAACGCCACCTCAGTGGGACGGAGAGATATGCTTTGGCCATGGGTGACAGCAGTGGGTCAAACTGTGCATTGTCTCTCCACCACTTCAAAAACAATACAGTTTTTGCCAAGAAGGTGAGGCTTATTGACAGGGCGAGATATAAATATACTGTTGGTACTTGTCAATGTCTCTAGGTGTGTAAATGTAGCCCTGTTAATACCATGTCCTTTTGTGTTCTGTTGTTTTATGTTCATGTTGTAACCTACTTGCTGCCATGTTGGACAGGTCTCTCAAAGAGATCGATGATCTCAATGGGACCACCTGGTTAAATAAAGGTTTAAAACAAAAAAAAGTGTTTAAAAAAGAATTAATAAAAAAAAAAAATCGCGGTAGATTTAGTCAGTCTCACGACGGTATTGGGACGTTTATTTACCGCGATATTCGGTATATCGTTACATCCCTAGTATTAGTAAGTAATTTGGTAACTAAAAAAACTAAAAATGTCTAGATGAATTCCTGTTGATTAAACAGCTGATGGTTTCAGTTCTAATGTAAAGCTCCTCTGCTCTGACTGCTCTCTCAGGGTTGGATTGATAACTTCAACGGACCTAGTGGAATCTTCATTGCCGTAAGTATTGACAGAAACCGTATCATTGTTTTTATCGATTTATAGAAAGATGAATTGTTTCAGTAAAGCATGGTAGCCTAGCTCCACTGAAAAGAAAGAAAGAATGATAAACAGACACATAATTCCTTGCATCAACTCACTGAAAGGAACCACATGGATGTGAAAACGTGCAGTTAGATGGGGGGGGTCGCTGTCTTTTAAGTTGCCCTGATGAACTTGTACTTAGTGTACTGCCTGAGCTCCTGCAGCAGACTCGGCGTGCCTGCTGGTGTTCTTGACATGACCCTCCTCCGATGCCTGAGGAAGGACAGTTGTTACTGATTTGAAATGGAACATCAATCACATTATCAGAGAGTTACATATGTTAGACTGCTTCAAAGTTATACACACTGTCAGGTTTTAGGTTTGTCCTCCTGAGAATCACAACTATATATAAGTATTAGGTCAGAGGTTGTTTATGACACAAAGTTGCACCAGGAAAGATGATGTACAAATGCAGCTGCCTTACCTACGTAGGATTAAATCCTAAAATATCTACTGCAGCCTGAACCTGTCTTAATGACTGATTAACGTGCTTCAGATGTTCCATTGTCAGAATTTCTTGACAGTATTAGCCGCTTTCACACCAAGTATTTTGCCGTACTTAGTGCCCAGCACTTATGGTGCATTTCCACAACAGCGCGGAGCTCGCTTTAAGCGTGCCTTCCCCGGCCCGTTTTTTGGTTGCGTTTCCACTTGGCGTAGTTCCGGCTAGCGGGTACTTTTTCACAGTTTTTCTGGCCCCATAAAATTGAGGTTCTTTCCGGGCCAACAACCAGGCTGAGTCGGGCTGAGTATGCTAAACTAGAGAGAGAATCGCTGGCAAGGGGGCTACAACTCCAACAAAATGAACATATTTGACCGTGATTTAATTGTAATACACGTTTCAAAACAATGCCGAAGTAACAACATACTGATACCGGTTAGTAAAAACCATGAATTAATGCTTTGACAAGTCTGCAGACAGACGGCAGGCGAAAAACCTTTTAGAATGCGTGTTGTCTAAATGGAGATCGGCTAAGCTAACGCAGTATATGCTCCGACCGTCCACACTCACAACAACGGCCTATACAAACATAAATAAACCAGCGACTGTATTCTCCATGACACAGGCAGTCTGTGGTTTGTACTTGTTTAACTTTTGTCTAGTTTCTGAACAGATATGAGGAGCTGTGAGCTCTGAGTGCTAACAGCTAACGGCTGATGTTGTTTTTCTGTGGTTCTCATTGAAGATGACGTCACGTCTCCGCCTACACTGCGTTACTATAGTTACTGCCCCAGTTCCTAAACTGTAATGGAAACACAGCATAAAGTGAGCCAGTCCTAACAAGGCCTAATGAGGCCTAGCCATACCGAGCGAGGCCGAGCGAGGCCCTGGGTGTTTCTCAATGTCGAGTAAAGCTGCTCCAGAGCCACTATTTCAAGCATACTACGTCATCGAGTGCCGCAGAAGGACTGTTCCAATGTCCAGCATACTTTGAATTCTACCGAGCCCGGCGTACTTCGTTTCGAGGCTGCACATGTATAGACTCCGCGGTCTTAAAATCCCCACAATGCTTTGCGCACGGACCAATTTCCCCAAATTTGTGGCGGAAAATCTAAGGTGGGGCCTCTCATATGACGCATACCTGCACACTTGCTCGCCTGTTCCACTCTTCATTTTCCGAATGCCAGGAAGTATTCTTGCCTCGCTTCTGAAGCAAGTGACTCGGAAGACATGTGCTACCAAGCAAGCGTACTCAACATTGAGAAACACCCCCTGTAGTGGAAATGCGCCATTAGTGCCAGCACTTAGTTCCCCCATGGAACTAAGTACAGATCGCGTTCACACCGGAATAAATTCCCTGAGGGAAGATTAGGCAAATGAAGCCGCTGACGTCACTTCGTCTTCTTCTGCTTTGGGTTTACTGGCAGGCCGCAAACAACTTCACGGCGTATACTGCCACCCGAAGTCCCCGGCCGGAAGTCGCCGGAGTTGGGGACTGGCTTCAGTGGTAAATCACTCCACCGCTCCCATGTTTTCTTTTGTGTTGCCATAAGTTATTCTCTCTCCGTTGGTGCGCGGGGCTAATGCTAATGCTAATAATGCTAATGCCAGCAAATACAATGGCTGCTTCACAAAACTTTTCAGAGTTTCACGGGGCGTGGTTTGCAATTCGCCCAGCCAATAGAAATTGGTACTTTTTTCTCCCCAGGATAGTACCACCTCTCTAGCAGGGACTGAAAATGGGGGTAAAAGTTCTCTGAACCAAGTACTCTTTTTGGTGTGAACGCAAAATTCCAGGCACTAACGGAACTAACCGAGAAAAGTACGGGTAAAAGTACTCCGGTGTGAACGCGCCTATTAACAGACACACCTGTTTTAAAAATGACAGAGTTTTAGTGGGCCTGTTTAATGCTGCTGTTTGCTGGCTCACATAATTCAACTTGTACTGAGCCTCTGAGCAGAGTCCTCCTGGAGAAATTTGCCATGTCGGGAGGGACAGGAAATGGTGAGGATGTGGTGTGTAAACATCAACTGTGGAGCTAACGGGCTAACAAAAGCAGTTCACAAAGTCATCAGAGGTTGAAAGTAACCAAGCAGAGTGTAGTCCAAAGAGAGTATACGACTCTCATGTGTGAGGTCATCTGAAACAGCTCCAAATGAGTGCTAATGTTTCTGCTAGATGTGAAACAAGCAGTGGTGTAGAGTAACTAAGAACAAGTACTGTGCCTAGGTACCATTTTCAGATTTACTTTCAGTATTTCAATGTTTTGCTACTTTGTTCTTCTACCCCACTACAATTCAGAGGTAAAAGGTGCACTTTGACTCCACTACATGTATGTAAAGGTCACATGTCATGACTATTTCCACTGATCATAATTCCATTGTTGAGGTCTACTAGAATATATTTATACTGTGCAATTTTCCAAACTCACATTGGTTTCGCATACAGCATCTCTGTATAGTATGTGTATTCAGCAGTATTCACTCTCTCCACTAAACGGCTCATTGCAGCTCTTGCCCCCCCCCCTCCCTGCGAGCTCAGTGTGCTCCGATTGGTCGGGACCAGTCGGGACGTTGTGAATCACGCTGAGCTCCGTGGAGGTGTTATTTCCTTGTTTAGCGATACACAGCCAAACACAGCCAAACTCATCCTGAGCACACACAAAGTCACAGCCGAAGTAAAAACAATAAGTGTAGCTTGATATTGAGTAAGAAAAAGGTTGATAAACGCTGTGAGAATGGGTCTGTAGAGAGAATGGGTCTGCAGAGAGAATGGGTCTGCAGAGAGAATGGGTCTGCAGAGAGAATGGGTCTGCAGAGAGAATGGGTCTGTAGAGAGAATGGGTCTGTAGAGAGAATGGGTCTGCAGAGAGAATGGGTCTGTAGAGAGAATGGGTCTGTAGAGAGAATGGGTCTGTAGAGAGAATGGGTCTGCAGTGAGAATGGGTCTGCAGAGAGAATGGGTCTGTAGAGAGAATGGGTCTGCAGAGAGAACGGGTCTGCAGAGAGAATGGGTCTGCAGAGAGAATGGGTCTGCAGAGAGAATGGGTCTGTAGAGAGAATGGGTCTGCAGAGAGAATGGGTCTGCAGAGAGAATGGGTCTGCAGAGAGAATGGGTCTGAGAGAGAATGGGTCTGCAGAGAGAACGGGTCTGCAGAGAGAATGGGTCTGTAGAGAGAATGGGTCTGCAGAGAGAATGGGTCTGTAGAGAGAATGGGTCTGCAGAGAGAATGGGTCTGCAGAGAGAATGGGTCTGCAGAGAGAATGGGTCTGCAGAGAGAATGGGTCTGCAGAGAGAATGGGTCTGCAGAGAGAATGGGTCTGCAGAGAGAATGGGTCTGCAGAGAGAATGGGTCTGCAGAGAGAACGGGTCTGCAGAGAGAATGGGTCTGCAGAGAGAATGGGTCTGCAGAGAGAATGGGTCTGCAGAGAGAATGGGTCTGCAGAGAGAATGGGTCTGCAGAGAGAATGGGGTAGAGAGAATGGGTCTGCAGAGAGAATGGGTCTGCAGAGAGAATGGGTCTGCAGAGAGAATGGGTCTGCAGAGAGAATGGGTCTGCAGAGAGAATGGGTCTGTAGAGAGAATGGGTCTGCAGAGAGAATGGGTCTGCAGAGAGAATGGGTCTGTAGAGAGAATGGGTCTGCAGAGAGAATGGGTCTGCAGAGAGAATGGGTCTGTAGAGAGAATGGGTCTGCAGAGAGAATGGGTCTGCAGAGAGAATGGGTCTGTAGAGAGAATGGGTCTGCAGAGAGAATGGGTCTGCAGAGAGACGGGGTCTGCAGAGAGATGGGTCTGTAGAGAGAATGGGTCTGCCGAGAGGATGGGTCTGCAGAGAGAATGGGTCTGTAGAGAGAATGGGTCTGTAGAGAGAATGGGTCTGCAGAGAGAATGGGTCTGCAGAGAGAATGGGTCTGTAGAGAGAAGGGTCTGCAGAGAGAATGGGTCTGTAGAGAGAATGGGTCTGCTAGAGAGAATGGGTCTGCAGAGAGAATGGGTCGCAGAGAGAATGGGTCTGTAGAGAGAATGGGTCTGTCAGAGAGAATGGGTCTGCAGAGAGAATGGGTCTGCAGAGAGAATGGGTCTGTAGAGAGAATGGGTCTGCTAGAGAGAATGCGGTCTGCAGAGAGAATGGTCTGCATGAGAGAATGGGTCTGCAGAGAGAAGGGTCCTGCCAGATGAGAATGGGTCTGCAGAGAGAATGGGTCTGCAGGAGAGAATGGTCTGCAGTGAGAATGGGTCTGTAAGCTGGAGAATGGGTCTGCTAGCAGAGAATGGGTCTGTGAGAGAATGGGTCTGCAGAGAGAATGGGTCTGCAGAGAGAATGGGTCTGCAGAGAGAATGGGTCTGCAGAGAGAATGGGTCTGCAGAGAGAATGGGTCTGCAGAGAGAATGGGTCTGCAGAGAGAATGGGTCTGCAGAGAGAATGGGTCTGCAGAGAGAATTTCGCCGCGATCCCAACTGTCTGTTATCAGCCTGCAGCCAGGGAGGAGAAATCAGCAGAGCTGCCTGCACTGAGTGTGTGAGGAAGTCCGTGGATTGGTCAATTTGGACCAATCAGCGGGGGCTTAACGTAACGGCTCCGCGGACGTAACGTAACGGCTCCACGGATTGGTCCATTTCGTTCCGGGGACGACATGACGTCATGATGTACCAGGAAGAATCAAATGGACAGTGACGTATCTCCAACGAGGCGTTTTGGGGAGGTATTTTCTGTGTTAGAGTTTTACTCGATACATGGTGTACTTTGAGGGTTTTGACTCTGCACACCATTTACATGCATAAAAACCTTCATAACACACAAGGGGACGGGTAATAACCGGAAAAGCATGACATGTCACCTTTAATACCTTTAGTTACTTCACAGATGTGGATGAATTATATGAAATCTAATCAAGTGTTAAATCAGACTGTAGTTCCACCTGGAGTAAATCCACCAGCTACCCTGCAGTATACAAAGTCATTCAAACTAGCTGCACCTTTACCAGCTTTGAGAACACTTTCATGATCAATCATTCTAACATGACATGTTACTTGTTAGACGCTTTTATCCAAAGCGACTTACATACTCAATACTGTGGACAATCCCTACAGGAGCAATTTGGGGTGAAGTGTCTCAGGGACACAAAGACATGCTGACTGCAGTGGGGTTTGAACCTGTGCTCCCCTGATCCCAACACCAAAACCCACTGCACCACACGCCTCCCATTATAAAACATATCATATATATTATTCTGAAATGGACCAATCTGCACAATGACTCCTTTTACTTTTGCTACTTTCACTATATCTTGATGATAATACTTTTGTATTTTTACTTGAGTAACATTTTGAATGCAGGACTTTTACTGTAACAGAGTATTCCTACACTCTGGTACTTGAGTACAAGATCTGAGTACTTTTCCCACCTCTGACTGCCCTACTACAGCCGTTCTTTTATCTGCCGCTCACATTATGTCACAGAGCAGTCATAAAATAAATAATATCTAAGCCAACTAAATCCAAAGTGAGAGGGTAGGGTTTGGAGAGCCCTGTGATCATGATGCTAGATTTCTGTTCCATGACTAGTTTACAGTTTCTTTGTGTGGCCCTCTGCAGGCTGGTAAGGGGATCCTGCGTACGATGAGAGCGTCCAATGATGCGGTGGCGGACCTGGTGCCGGTGGACGTGGTCATCAACGCCACGCTGGCTGCTGCCTGGTACTCTGGATCTCAGACACTCAAAAGGTTGGAGAGACACTTGTCTCACACATCTTCTGGATAAGTTGGAATTAAATGTTAATGTGCTTTTAACAGTACAATTCAACTATTCCCTGAACTATTACCTCCATATCACAGGTCTAAAAGCATCATGGTGTACAACTGCACCACCGGAGGCATCAACCCGTTCCGCTGGGGGGAAGTTGGTATGATTCCTCTTTCTCTCTGCTAAACACAGCCTCTGTAAAGGCCTTACTGGTAATGACATACTCTGGTTGTAATATGATCCACTGTCTGGCACACCCAGACTGAGAGCGTTGGTTCAGTCGTACCCTATGGATCCTGCTTTATAGCTGCCGGGTCATTATGTGGATCCTACCCACAGAAGACACACATAGTAGGTGATTATTCACAATGCCATTTAGTCATTCTACATTCATAGATTTGATAATCACACCTGAACTGAGTTTATTTATCTTTTAGTTTTAGGGTTTACTATAAAGTGCAGCCATAACTTCTCTCGTTCAGCCGTGTACACAGTGATGTTGTGTTGTACCTCATTTAGGATACGCATTAATGGGTGCATCCTTCGGAGTGGCTACAGGAAGAGTTAAAGTCTGAGAGATGATGTTGGTTCAGGATGAGAACACATTCTGTCTGAAAAGTGCATAACTACTGCCTAGTGCCTACACAGTCTATTGATTCAAAGTTGAACTCTTCTGCTGTGGTCCTTCAGCCTACAGATGTGCACATGGGTTTTTATATACAATGTTAACTTCAGTGGTTGGAAGAAATGGAATAAACTATAGTTGACCACAAGGTCAATTTGAGTAGCTGTTCAGGAGGTTACTATCAAATCCCACAGCAGGTCTGCCTAAGCACCATGGGTACAGTAGCTGACTAAACTACATTTCAATGACCCTTGACTCCGTCTGCTGCTGCTGAACACATGTTATCAGTCGGTGGAATTGTTTTGCCAATAATGAATATCTTTGTGAACCTCAAGTACTATATGTGCGCAGCATCAGAGGAGTATTAGATGCATTTAATAGTTTGTTAAATCTGGTGGTTTTATATTGGATTGCTGTTTATTTAGTTGATGTCCTGTGAACTACACAATGATGGTCATGATATGCTAGCATTTGGGTTATATGTAGAGTCAAACATAAGCTTATCAGATGTGAGCTATATAATGATTGGGGAAGCAGTGCTGAAGCTTCCAGTCAGGCATATAAACATGTGTGTAACTGCTGATTTGATGATGTGTTGAACCACCTTGTGTTTCTTAGAGTACCATGTAATATCCACATTCAAGAGGAACCCCCTTGAGCAGGCCTTCCGTCGGCCCAATGTTAATCTAACATCCAATCACCTTATCAATCAGTACTGGATCGCCGTGAGCCACAAGGCTCCGGCCTTCCTCTATGATCTGTACCTCAGGCTGATTGGACGAGAGCCCAGGTAACCTCATCATCGCCGACTTGGACGTGTCTCGCCTCTGCTGTTTAACGCCAAACGCCCCTCACACGCCCACACACCTTTGCTGCTTTAGTCTGTCACTTTCCTGTAGTGTAGTAGCCTAACTGCGATGCTAATGTGTTACATGATGCTTGTGTGCAGTTGTGTTGGCAGTTGAAGAGTGTATAACCCAGCTGCTCTCACACCAGAGTCACTGCTGGGTTCTGCACTCTTTACAGCTTGCTATTTACAATGTGGATATCCTCAGTTGGGTTCCCAAACTGTCAGCACTGAGGGCATCTTAGTCCAGCTCATCATGGACTATGTTGGACTTCAGAATGAACATGCTTTTGGGAACCCAACCCAAGTTGCCATTTTCAAAATAATGTTAACATCCAGATATATAAATGTCTGGAGCCATTCAGATATCATTCTGTTACAATGACAGCAGGGGTCAAGCCCTCACTAAGGGCTGCATTGTGCCTTTATCAGAAGAGGAGGAAACAAGCCTTACCTTCATCTCGTCCTCTCTGTCCTGTCATATGTCTCTCTCTACAGAGTACTGTATAAACATGAACTTCAAGACCAATCCCTTAGAGCAGGCCTTCAGAAGGCCCAATGTCAATCTGCGCTCCAACCCCTTTACTAATCAGTGCTGGACGGCGCTCAGCCACACGCTGCCCGCCCTGCTCTATGACTGCTGTCTCAGGCTGACAGGCCGCAAGCCCCGGTAAGGTTGCAACGGCACCCCCACCCTGCACATTCCCACCTGCCAGTCAGCACCCCCCCCCTCCCTTACTGTTTGTCTGTTTTCTTTACTGACTGGTTCTGTGGGATGGAGGGAACAGGGAAGGGTCCAGGCAGCAGGGACAAACTTTGGCTCTGTCTTTAAGCGACCCCATGGCATCAGCTGCACTTGTATGTGAAGACAGGTTGTCATGACAACAAGATGTGGCTTCTATCAGAGCATGTTTTCAGCTTTGCTCTGTTGTTGGGAATGCTTTTCTAAGACTTTTTGTAAACAAGCCATGCTATGAACATGACATCCATTATTACCATCACTTCTTACCCAATCATGGAAATCCTGAGGCATCATGGCACTTGGCAAAATTGTGTCCAGTCGGGGACACATCATGTCCCGCTGAACACAACCCCTATGCATGTTAACCGATTGATGTCCACATTTATGTTCTTTCTTCACTACAAGCCACAGGTATTTCAGACAGTAGATGCAAGCCAAGCAGTCACTGCAGTTAGCGTGTTAATCAGCTCTCACTTAGTGTTTGGCTGTCTGAAACTCATTTGGCTTCGTAGCTAACTCACATTACTAGGCTGTGATGTGATTGGGAATGTCAGCAGCTGTTCTGTCAGTATTGTCTCTGCCTCTGTGTGCTGATCAGCCGTGCATGTTCATCCTCTGAATGAGGACAGGAGGAATCTGAGTCTCAATCCGCCTGCGTTACTGTAAATGTTCATTCAGAATGACGGGCCTATTGGATAAGGGCCTTTTTATTCATGATACATTTAAATAGTTGCAACCATGCAATTTACATTCTGGTAAAATGTAGACTTGGAGAACTTTTACGTTTCAATTCATTACAAAAACTGCGCAGTTTGAGACCCAGAGACCCTCCTTTAATCCTAACCCTAATGGGCACTGCGGTTTTATATTTCCACCCTGATTACCAGAAAGCTGTTTACTAGTTTTGAATAATCATCACTAACATCTCAACTAACATAAACTGAAAGATGTTAACTGGATTCAGAGGAGGGCTCTGTCTGTCCCTCGGCACCAAATCCCATTTCAATCCATATTGAATCCATTTGACCTGAAATATGTTGATTGGTCCATTTAACGGTGTCCCGTGTCCTCCTGACCTGCAGAGTGAATCCAGTTAGTGATCAGGGCTCTCACTCACACTTGTAGTGCTGTCACAATGTGTGTACCCCCTCTTGACCATGTTGAAAATGTGTAAAGAGAATAATGATGTATTTTGAACATTTCTAAACCATACCTGTAAAACAAACTTTTGCACTACATAGTTTTGTAGCTAAGTTGAAATCATTTAAGGTGAAGAGGGGCACAAACACATAGCACGGTACAGCTCATATTACCACCTGTATATATTACAATTGGAACGTTACTAGATTTTTGTAATTTGTTCACGCCTTGTGAAAAATCTGTGCACATCTCAGGGTGTCAAATAATCCATTTCAGACTGAATTCAAACTTGTTTTGTATAAAAGAACTTACTTTTGTATTACTCTACCTGGTGTTAATCTTTGTCGTTTTTTGCTAACCTTCTGCCTCTGCTCTTCATTCCTGATTCCTCCACTCCTCCCATGTTCCCTCACCCCACCACCTCTCTTTTATTTCCTTTCCCTCTCCTTGCTGCTTCTCTCTGCACTGCCCTTCTCCTATGGTTTGCTCATCATCTTCTCTCTGGCTCTGCACTACAACCACCTTTATCCCTTCATATCTTTTTCACCTTCCTCCATATTATTGCTTCTTTCCTTTTTTTCTGTCTTGCTTTCACCGCTGGTTTATCATAGGATGATGAAGACAATCACGCGCCTCCACAAAGCCATGATGGTCTTGGAGTATTTCACCAGTCACTCCTGGGTGTGGAGCAACGAGAACGTCACCATGCTCATTGGCCAAATGAGCCAAGAGGATAAGAAGGTGGGAGGACACAGATGATGGGCTTGTGTTTATCTGTTGCCCATGTACGCTCCGCCACACAGGGCTAAAACACTGAGGAGATTCACCACTCGGTGTGTTACAGTCTGACACAGGCTGGCTGCAATAGAGAGTCATTCATCCAGTGCTGACGTCAGTGTGGGGAACAGAGAGGCTTTCAGAGGGCTGTCTGCAGGAATGTGTGTGTGTGTGTGTGGAGGGGATGTTGGTGTGCTGCCACTTTCACACATTAGACTTATTGTTCCTGCACGAAGAGACACTCACAGTAATTATCTTCACGGAAGCATATCTGATGAAAAAATACCATAAAATAGTTTATTTCATTAGTAATTCCACAATAGTGTTGAAAGTGTCGAAAAACAATTTGACAGGCAGTTTGAGGAGTCACAACCTGAGACTGAAAGGCTGCCAACATTAGCGCCACGTCACTGCTCTCTGATCCAAACCACGGTCCTCTCCTCTGAGCTAATGATGCCGTGTGACTGCGTGGGGGAGACCACTGGGGGTTCAATGAGACAGCTGGAGTTCAGTGCTGCAGCCTTCAACACTGAAATATGCAACTCTTCCCTTTCCCTCTTTTTTGATATGTTACCTTAAATGTCGGTATAAGTTCAGTAGAATAGGACCAGTAGTGTCTCCAAATGTTTTCTGAACCATTGTTATATGTGGGAAGGTAGGATGGGTCATGCTATCAGTAAACATGATACATTGTGCTAAGCATCAGCATGATGAAGTTGTCACTGTGAGACTGTTGGAATGCTCACATTAACACTAATCCTATTCCTAAATCAATGCTATTCCTAATTGTAGCTCCAGAGAGCCGTGTCATCTCAGTACATCTGGGTTGTATATTTAAAGAGGCCCTAATTAGCTTCCTTTCCTGTAGTGTGTGCTATAGGTTTGTGTACATGTAAATGCTCTGCAAAGGCTCCAATCCCTGAGTTTCTCTCGCTTTTGTTTTCTACACTGTAAAAAACCTCAAATATTTAAAGTACCAGCCAAAATAAACAATCAAGAATATGTGGTAATGAATTCCATCTACGGAAGATGTGCTTATTGTTGTAGACTGCATCTTTTGTCAGTCACTGCAAAGTTTTGATTTTAACTGAATGTTTCTTGTGTTTTGATTTGTGTAGGTTTTCAATTTTGATGTGCGTCAGCTGCACTGGGCAGAATACATGGAGAGCTACTGTATGGGCACCAAGAAATATGTCCTCAATGAAGAGCTGTCGGGCCTGCCTGCTGCACGCAAACACCTCAACAAGTAAGACAGACACCAGACAAACTGGAGCGCTCATCTAGGTCACAGTACACTCCATGCGTCTCTGCACATTGTTTACATTCTCATCTGCCTAGCATCTTTCCATTAACAACTGATGTCTCTTCAGTAAGAAATGACTTTTCTGTCAAGTAGTTGTTCAGATGATCCTTTGGAGTGCAGAGTGGCAGTTCTCCTCTCAGCCTTCACAAAGCTCTTGTGAATAGTTCAGCATGCAGACTGTCAATGAGTATCTATGTAAATGGTGCTGAACTGTGGATACGAGTCTTGTTTGAGTGACTTTAGACACTTCCTATCTGTACCATAGCAAACCTCAAATAGGAGTCCTCCTTTTTGAAGTCCATGAATCGTCTGAATTGTGTTTTCTCCCCAGGCTGAGGAACATCCGCTACACCTTCAACACCGTCCTGGTTGTGCTCTTCTGGCGCGTCTTCATCGCCCGATCCCAGATGGCCAGGAACATCTGGTACTTTGTGGTGAGCCTCTGCTTCAAGTTCCTCTCCTACTTCAGAGCGTCCTCCAGCATGAGATAAGGATCCAAGCGACGGGTGGTGGGTGGGGGGGACGAATCAATGAAGAAACACTGGCTGTGGATGATGACCGGTTCCTGAGCTCAAGGCCCTCGCTGTCTGTCTTTGGCCCGCTTTGCCTGGAGGATCAGATGGACCCGTTTCACCCAGGAAACAGAGAGAACCACTGGAGGCCACAGCCCTCTGAATGTTGATCTCTAGCATTTCATAAAACAGAGGGCATGGATCTATCTCACTTGTACAACGCTCAGATTAACAACTTTTGGACGAGTTAGAGAAGCAGGAGCACAAACCCTGTTCCTGTTGGTTTCCGTTAGCCCCGCCTCCCTCTCCGGTGCCGACTACTGCTGCAGTCTTTGAGCTCCAACGCATCCAAACTCACTCCACCTGGTCTGCCTGCTCGCCTGACTGCCTGAAACTAAGCTATGCATTGGATGAAGCTTCGCTGCAGAACCCCTCCGTCTGTTTTCAGTCCTTCCAGTCTTCCTCTTCCCCCTCTCCTTGTCCTTCCTATGTAACCTTTGATTGCAAGATAAGCAGTCAAACTGCAGTGTAAGTTATATTTCGCTGTCACCTGAAAACATCTCAATTTATTTTCTACCTTGGTATTTGTGATTGTTTTTTGTCATTTATTTTTCCTAGTTAGGCCTATTCAAATGTCTACAAGCAGGATTGTGTTTGAAGAAGAATAGGTAGCTGTCAGCTTCTGGGGGTTTGAGGCAGCTAAAGGAAGAATCTGTACTGACTCAGCGAAGGCTTGTTCAGGGAGAGGTATCGCTGAAACTGCTCCCCCTCAGAAGCCCGATTCTGACACCAAAGCCATTTCACCCAGTGGAGTGTTGGCAGCTCTGTGAAGAGAATGTTTCCATTGCAGGGGCTTTAGGGGGGGGGGGGGGGCTGTGCAGCACTCAGAGTTATCTTTAATCTTCCTGCTTGGCAAAAACACTGACAACAACCCCCCCCCTGTATATCTCTGGCTAGTTCCATAATGCGTACAATATGGATTGTATATGGCGGCTTTACCCTGTGCCTACACACTGATTGTACTTTAAGGAAGCTTCTTCTTCTTCTACAGGTTTCCTTTGTCATTCATCTTAAAGCTCTTTTTGCCAAAGTACCTCTACCAGCTCAGAGGATGGGGGGGTGTAGTCAAGAGGAGACATACTTTCATTTAAGGCTTCTTTCATTTAGTTCTGGAAGCCATTTTGATCATGGATACACAGTGGGGGGGATGACTGTTATGCATTGCTTTACACTACCTTTCAGGTAGCTCACAATCTGTGTTTAAGTCCTTTGTATGGGTCATCATTCGTCATGTTACTAGTTCATGTTCTATATTAGTTCTGTAACTGTGTAAGTATGCAGGGTTTGCTTATGCTATTTATAACCTGCTGTTAAACTCCGGGACCGTTCTGTTGCCTTCTTCATCCTGTCTTGTTGCATAAGAAATGAGTTTGTTTTTGTTCAGATGAATGATTGTCTTGTTTCTCTGGGTTTTCTATGAATGAATCATCATTGCCATAGAGTCTCTGACCCACCTGAGGTTTACACTGTCTCCGGGGTCTGGAGCAGGCAGAGGGGTCTGAACAGCAGTGGGGGGGCCGTGCCCTACTCTCTGGTTGTTTGCATGTGTCTCAAAATGTCTTCGCCATAGTAGCTCCAAACGCCTACATGTGGTATCTCTCACCTTCACAGCATGAACCATTTGACAAAGGATCATGTGACCTGGTGGAAGGATGCACCCTTTTGGAAAGATGTGTGATTCGTGCCTGAACTTTTTAAAATATTCTAACAATGTGAAATTAGATCTGTTTTCTAATTATTTGATGTACAGCTCTATTTAGGTAGACTTCAAATTACAGATGTATTTTTATGCTGATGACATGCGTGGATATTTTACCTACAAGAAGCTTATGGATCCAACTTTAGCTGATGTAAATAATAATAGGTAAATATGAGTGCAGTATGTGTAGAGCTGAATTGAAATGTTAAAGGTTGCTTGTAACTGTGCTGTATGTTCATGTACTCTCATTGTCTCTGAATGTAACAGAATAACAGCCTGACCTGTTTGCACAGACTGACTCATCATTGACTCCTGAACCACAAACACTGTATTCTGAATATTGAGTGTCTCTTCTTCGAGGGTCATGTGATACATTTTCTCTGTTCCTCCATGCTCTTGTTACTGTGATGCTGAATGGCTGCTATGCTTGCTTAGAGTTGTTGTTTGGGGGGGGGGCTTTTGTTTTTTATTCAAGCTTTATTTTATGGAGGAGTGAGAGTGACGCCCAGGGCCTCTTGCTGTTCCACCTTTCAATGTTAGGAGACCCTAGCAGTGTTCTGTTGCTCCATCAGAGCCCTGTGCTCTGATCAACTCCACGCAACTCTTCATAATGCTCCAATATTGAACTTATTGAAACCTCCAGAAAGAATGTTAAATATGTAAAACATGAAATATTCAAGTCTGAATGTGCAATAATCAAAGTTAAAGGAATCATTTCATGTTTTGGAAAATGCACGTTTTGTCTTTTTGCTGAGAGTTGGCATCAGAAGCTGTGGATCTTAGCTTAGCGTAAAACGTGAAAACTGAGTTAAAGGTCTCCTATCATGCAAAATGCATTGTCTGATGTCTTCTCCACATCACCATGTGTCCCCGGTGTGTCAGGAGACTCACATAGTGATGTCTTCTCCACATCACCATGTGTCCCCGGTGTGTCAGGAGACTCACATAGTGATGTCTTCTCCACATCACCATGTGTCCCCGGTGTGTCAGGAGACTCACATAGTGATGTCTTCTCCACATCACCATGTGTCCCCGGTGTGTCAGGAGACTCACATAGTGATGTCTTCTCCACATCACCATGTGTCCCCGGTGTGTCAGGAGACTCACATAGTGATGTCTTCTCCACATCACCATGTGTCCCCGGTGTGTCAGGAGACTCACATAGTGATGTCTCCTCTACATCACCATGTGTCCCCTGGTGTCGGAACTCCTGATGATGTTCTGCCTCCACATCACACATGTGTCCCCCGGTGTGTCAGGAAGACTCACAAGTTATGTCCTTCTCCACATCACCATGTGTCCCCGGTGTGTCAGGAGTACTCACATAGTGATGTCTCCTCTAATCACCATGTGTCCCCGGTGTGGTCAGGAGACTCACATAGTGATGTCTTTCTCTCCACATCACCATGTGTCCCCGGTGGTGGTCAGGAGACTCACATAGTGATGTCTTCTCCACATCACCATGTGTCCCCGGTGTGTCAGGAGACTCACATAGTGATGTCTTCTCTACATCAACATGTGTCCCCGGTGTGTCAGGAGACTCACATAGTGATGTCTTCTCCACATCACCATGTGTCCCCGGTGTGTCAGGAGACTCACATAGTGATGTCTTCTCCACATCACCATGTGTCCCCGGTGTGTCAGGAGACTCACATAGTGATGTCTCCTCTACATCACCATGTGTCCCCGTGTGTCAGGAGACTCACATAGTGATGTCTTCTCCACATCACCATGTGTCCTCGTGTGTCAGGAGACTCACAAAGTGATGTCTTCTCCACATCACCATGTGTCCCCGGTGTGTCAGGAGACTCACATAGTGATGTCTTCTCCACATCACCATGTGTCCCCGGTGTGTCAGGAGACTCACAAAGTGATGTCTTCTCCACATCACCATGTGTCCCCGGTGTGTCAGGAGACTCACATAGTGATGTCTTCTACATCACCATGTGTCCCCGTGTGTCAGGAGACTCACATAGTGATGTCTTCTCCACATCACCATGTGTCCCCGGTGTGTCAGGAGACTCACATAGTGATGTCTCCTCCACATCACCATGTGTCCCCGGTGTGTCAGGAGACTCACATAGTGATGTCTTCTCTACATCACCATGTGTCCCCGTGTGTCAGGAGACTCACATAGTGATGTCTTCTCCACATCACCATGTGTCCCCGGTGTGTCAGGAGACTCACATAGTGATGTCTCTCTACCACAACACCAGTGTCCCCGGTGTGTCAGGAGACTCACATAGTGATGTCTTCTCCACATCACCATGTGTCCCCGGTGTGTCAGGAGACTCACATAGTGATGTCGTCTCCACATCACCATGTGTCCCCGGTGTGTCAGGAGACTCACATAGTGATGTCGTCTCCACATCACCATGTGTCCCCGGTGTGTCAGGAGACTCACATAGTGATGTCTTCTCC